ATAGCTCTATACTCGCTCCGAGCCTTCGAAAAGCAGAGTCGAATTAATAATCAAATGTCGCCTGACTTGAGGAATGCAATTCCAACCTGTTCACAAATAAGCACATTTGCTATTCCAATCAGCATTTCCTCTTTTTCGCAAAAAGTTTCTTTTGCTTTAGTCCCTTCGTTAATTGGAGAGCCTGTTGCTTTTATGCTGGATAAACTTTCTTGTGGCTCCAAATGCAAATTCTGGTAGTGTTCGCTTCACTTGGCACGTGCCCCTCGCCGTGGGATGCCGCGACAAGCATGCGCAACAATCACGTGACACACCCGAGAACCGCTACTCGCGTAAACGCTCTCGAAGTTGTCGAATTTTGCAGGGCTTGGCATATAGAAACTAGAGAGCCTATTCTTAGGCCACCCGCAAGTAGGTATGCCATTTCATGGAAACCCTATAACTCAATGGACTCCACCGTCGTCCAAAATCACAGTAAATTTACGAGAGAAACTTTAGATAAAGAATAAATGTGCGTACCTCCTCCCTTAGCCATTTTCACAAAAAGTGCTTTTCAAGACATTCCATGGGCATGCATCGCAAACACTATCTTTCTTTCTATATTTTGAGATAAAATGCTTCTACTACTGAAAATTTCCTATTGAACCCATTCCTTATTAGGGGCACTCATACGCCACTGTTAAACTTGTAATCAAGCACTATGCAGCTGACTAACTGCCTCAGTTAGAGGTAATAATTCTTGGTAAATGATCAGGTGCTAACTGCATAAAAAGACAATTTTGAGTATTCCTCAACTCCCGTCGTTTTATTACATTGTTACTTATGGTAGGAGACGCCCACCGATCGTTCTTACGGAAGTCACTCGTTCCGTTCCGTTGGCTAGAGGCGTGAACTTCTGATTAACAGGTCGCGAGTTCGAGCCTCGGGTGTTTCACACTTCGGGATTGGGTATGGCTTGCTGATGACAGCTAATAAGCCAGAAATGGCCTTTCCAGTCTCCTTTGTCTTTGTCGGTAATAACCCAGTGTCTATAGTTACTTATATGTGTATTCCTTACGTACTTTCAAAAACTGAATTTGTCATTTGACACGAATTTTCAGACTTTTAGGATTTCCTCTTTTCTTAAGATGCTTTGACGGGGATTGGATAGATAAGCCCGCTTCGGGAATGGAGCCCAGGGACCCCTGTTACAAAAGAGGATGTCAATATTAATTTTATCCGTAGGGAAAATGAACATGGAAATTAACGAAATCTGAGGAAGACATTGAGAAAACTCACGTTCCTGCCGTATGTTTATTTTGGTATGCCAATTAGATGTCGGAATAGACCGCACAATTTGAGGGATGCAAATTAGGGCGTGTAGACGGGCGGAAAATAGAGAATTCAAAGTTATCGGTTAGAGGAGGCCAGATTAGGTGAGACGAAGTGCGCCGCGCAAACTTAACTGAGCTTTGCCCAACCCTAATCGTTAACTCAACCCTAGCCTTGAACAAAACCCTAAATTTATTCACTTTTAAGCTCATCCAGAGACGTAGCTATAATATAACATGTATTTCGAAATAAAATATTTAAGCATCTAAGAGTAATAAAAACCCAAGGTTATATATCCAGTCGTTGCCTAATTTCCACTTCTAACCAACATACTATTGCGTCAAATATTTCTTCTATCTTTTCGTCCAAGTAAAACCCGCTCATTACTAATCGGGAGCTTTGCTCGACGCATTCGGGCCAGCTTTCGACGGACTGGAGATTTTACGTTAGTTTACATGCAGCTCACTACCTTACTGTATTTTACTGCAATTGAAAACGGTCGCCGATATGACCCCGATTAATTCTGGTGTCGATTGTGAGAAGGTAAGCCGGTGGACCCAATCCAACATTCTGCTCTCTTATTCTGCACACTAGGAACTAAGACGACACGCCAGGGTGCGCACCCGTAAGAAATGGCCCGACCGATCTAATTTCCGTTGATCGGTACAACGACCCTCTCGGAGCAATTACTTGGAGGATCACCAAAATGATAAACACGCTGAGAACCGCTCTGGGCTGGCTACTTCGTGTTTCAGCTGACATCCATTCCACTAACAGAATCCGACGTATAATGGCAATGGCTCATCAGTGTGTATGTGAAACCATCTACTCTTAAAACGGGCCTTTGGGTTTACTGCGCTGGATCAACACAGGGGCTAGGCCGGATACCGGCAGACGTTATTAGGAATGCGCACTCAGGTGCAGGCATATGCCGAGTCAATTGGGATCCGAGTAGACCCCCCTTTTGTCTTTTTTCGTTTCTTGTGGTATAAAATTCTGGTTATGGACAACAATTTATGGTGACACGCATTGTTGCGGATTTTCTCCGTACCAGCCACCTGAGTCCTCTGTCGCCTGCGGTCTTCTTGACTTCGTTTCCAGTTGGGGAGGAGGGAGTGCGGTAGATGTAGCACACGTCTATTACTAATACAAAACTAATTCACGCACAAGTCACTGTCCCGGTTCTCACTTTGCTGTGGAACACAGGATAGACATTTTCGGAAATGACGGCTTAATTGTCAATGCAAATCGAAAAACTGACAGTGGTGGGCCATCAGACTGTGTTAATTTAGTTCCTTTGAGTAGCGAAATTATCAAAGAGTGTGGTGTTGTTGGATCTGGAATGCTGCCGACCACCCGTTATACCCAGTGACATTTAAAGTCACTGACCAGTCTCACGTTTTCTCCAAATTTTATACTCAGGGAGAGGGTTTATATATATATATCTTAAAAAGCTTTTAGATGTTTGGTTAATTTGGAGTCCGGCATGTTGTTGCATTTGCATTAAAGATTTACAGTCTGTATACTATCCATGTGGAGAAAATAATGTTTCTCTATGCCGCAAAGATGATTCTATACAGCGCTCATAAATTATAATGGATGTGGACTGTGCCATATAGTTCATATGGGACATTGATAAAAGTGTGAGTACGGTGCTATTCGAATGATCACATCAATGTCTTAAAAACCATCGCAATTACAAACTTTTTTTAAAACAGAAAGACACCCCTTTCTCAAACTTAGCATTTGAAGAGGACGAGATTTTAAAGCGCATGAGTACAAGAAATAATGTATCTAAATTTATAGAGGTCCCGAGGACCCATGAAAAATCATGGTAATTAAGTGGTCACTTTTTTACTGAGTACCGTTTCTGCAAGTGGTCAAAAAAGTGCTTTCGAAACCCGGAATCCTGCGTGACTGAAATGTCTTGGGTTTATACTTCATGGTAATCAATATTGAAACCTCATCTACGTAATCCTTCCTTATCGAGGAAGCATTTCAAAATCTTGGTCACTGGCTGTACAATAACCTTAACGTAAAGGGGAGTATGAGAGTCGTGCTACATAGTGCTTTCATCATAGTTTAATTTTTGCGAAGTCTTGCCACTAGACTTCAACTTCTGTGCGAGCCACCAGTATTCAGCTCGACCAGTGAACTTTTGAACTAGTTCGCAAATGCTTAGTTTCGAACTCAATCTTCTTGTCACTGATGTCTAATATCGATTATTACCATTAGAAGAAATAGATTAACTATCGTCAGTACCGACGGAATGGCCTAAAGGGCTTGCGCTCTGAACTACATATGCTGCTGGTTGACGGATTAACTCCTTGATGAACTTCTTCACTATCTTTTCGGTGATTTTGAACAGCGAGTTGCCTCTGTGCCTGTCGCAGAGTTGGCAGTTCCCTTTCCGCTTATAGAGATGGACGATCGTAGCGTCCTTGAAATCCTGCGTGACTTCATCTTGACGCAACATTCCCTGTAAGAACGCCGTCAGATGATCTATGAGGTGGGGACAATCGTGCTTGAAGATCTCAGAAGGGATCCTGTCCGATCGGGGCGCTTTTCCACTGGAGAACTGCTGCACGGCAATGATGGTTTCGCGGAGAGGGCGGGAGGTTAAGATCTGCGTCGGTCTCCACTTGAGACAAACTGGCGATGGCGGCGTCGGAGATGGTGGAGGGTCGACTGAGGATGCCCCTGAAGTTTTCGGTCCATCGCTGCTGAATTTGCGCCTTCTCAGAAAACAGGGCAGTTCCATCGGTGCTGAGGATAGGAGCGGTTTCTTTGGCTGTGGCACCGTAGACAGCCTTGACCACAGTGACGAAGTTCTTCCATCCGTTGCGGTCCGCGTACCCTTGGATCTCCTCGACCTTGCGAACTGTCCAGGCCTCCTGTTGCGGATAGCGATCATAGCAACGCCGCGCCTCTCGCTAATGCCTGCACCTGCGCACCAGCGACAGCCTGCCTAGGCACGCACGCCTGCCTGGCTTCGATTTGTTCCGCTGCAATTCAGTCCACAACACACTTCTAATCGATCCTCTGCCTGGACCATGCGGGGCTTGTAATTACCCTAGCGTGCACTCGGAGCCAATCAACGCAACTCTTCTCACTGATTGGTTATACAGGCGGACAGAGTAGACCACTGTTGCAAACAACCTGTCTTGACACGGTTGCGGCGGCGAATTACTGCGACACGGCAGGTCGCTCTGGCGGACGCCGCCTTCGCGGCGCCGGATGCACCCTCATCCGGATGCCAGCTTTCGTCTATTATTCTGTACATAATAAACCCTCTTCCCAACTGGCGTCCCACATCTTCTCTTTACAACTTGGGATTTGGTCTGAAGATGACCGCGTAAGGAGCAGTCACTCTCACCGCCTATTCGCTAAATTTCTGCATCTTCCACAGCCGCTGTTGCACAAGGCGGCGACTACGGTAAAAGGCTGCTTTATTGTCGTCAGTAGGGCAATTGACGAAGGCTTTGTGTAGTCAATTCTTCTCGGCGAGTAGGTTGCTAGGGGCGGCGTCATCGCCGTCGAACCAGTCCTGGTGTTTGCGGCGTGCACGACCGAGAACAGCCAGAGCGGTTGACTGAACTATGTCTCGCGGGTGACATCGTCGGTTCTCTACGGATGCTATTGTCACCAGCACTTCCAGCTTGTCTCGCCTCTGAAAAAGGGCATAGTCCAGCATGTGCTAGTGTCTCTGCCAAGGGTGCATCTAGGTGGCCTTCTCTTGCACCGGGAGGCGGAAGAAGACGTTGCTCAGATTGAATCGGTGTTCAGAGCAGGTTCGTAGGAGGAGCAGACCATTGTCATTGGAGCCATTGAGACCATGGAGACCCAGCACTCACCTCCAGGCAGCATGGTCTGTGCCGACGCGGGCGTTGAAGTCACCAAGGTCAATCAACTTATCCGCCTTCGGCACAGACGCCAGGAGGGCGTTCAGGTCCTCGTAGAATTTGATTCTTGCAGCGTCAGGGCTGGTCATCGGGGGAGGGGGGGGGAGCGTGCACACTGGCGATGATGGTGAATTTGCCTCCCTGGAGAGGCAGGCGGAGGCTCATCAGACGATCGTTAATGCCCTGCGGCAGCCAGAGCAGTCGTCCGACGATGTCGTCCCGGTAGCAATTGGGAGATGGCATCCAAAAATTTCCGTTACCGATGAGAATATGCCGGAGGACTGCATGAGTGTTCGTCCACAGGCTGATGAAAGGAATAAAATAAGGGTACTTTACTGAGGGCCGGAAAGCTTTAAAAGCATACAATCCTAGACAGACGGTATCATCAGCTAAGCAATTTCACAAAATGGCAACTCGTCGGGGTCAGGTGCGGCGATGTTTTCAATCACGTCCTCTGTGTTTATTGAACGTGCAGTTTTGAAAGCGAGGATATGAAGGCATAGGGTCATGAACAGCACAACGTAGAACGTTTCCTTTAGCCAACTGTATTCCGCTTTCAATCCCCTATTTAAAAAAGCCATTAAGCAGGAAATACGAGCTGGATCGACTGCATATTATCTGCCTCTTCAAGTAAATCCGACACCGCGCACATTTTTGTTGCCATATAGTGATGAGGTTAAACTTTATCGTTCGAAAAGCCATTTCTGAAAAAACTTCTTATTATTATTTATATTTATCCACGCAATCCCGTAAGACAGGCTGCTTTGGTTGGGCGGATTTTTTGGGTGCCATCTCCCAATTGTTACCTGTCGTCCCGATGACAAAGGCGACGCTCACGTCTTGTCGCTCTGCCTTGGGGCGATCGCTCCAAAATAAGGTGTAGCCGGCACCCACCTCCTCCAGTTGGCCTTGTTCAGAAAGCGGGATCTCGCTGAGTGCTGCGATGTCCACCTTTTAGCGCGCCAATTGCCGAGCCACCAGCGTCACCCTCCGTTCCGGTTAGTTGCTCCTCGCATTGTCTGAAAGGCAACGAACATTCTAGGCTGCCAGAGTGAGCGGACTCACCTGTTGCAGACAGGGCAGTCGTTCTAAGATGTCGTTCCGAATGGCAAAGGCGACGCCTTCGTCCCGTCGTTCTGCTCTGGGCGACCGCTCCAGAAGAAGGTGTAGCCTTCACCAATTGGCCTTGCTCAGAGAATCGGGTTTCGTTGAGTGCAGCGATGTTCACCTAATAGCGCGCCAGTTCTTGAGCGACTGGGGCCGTCCTCCGATCCGGTCGGTTGCTCCTCGGATTGTCTAAAAAGAAGCGAAAATTCCAAGCTGTCAGAGTGAGCGAACTCGCCTTACCAGCCCCTGGGATGGGAAGACAAGAAGATGAACGCGCGATCGCTAGGACAGTACATGTATTCGTCTAAACTTTCGGTCTCTTACATGAGACCATCATCAGAAACTGCGAGAATACGGCGCCAAATGAGTATTGTTTTGTTTTTGGCGGTTTCTACCGCGTGTTTTACATCTGCAAGCCACGGTCCCCGCGCAAAAGAACGTAATCCCAGCATTTGTTTAGGGAACCATTTCCAGCCCTCGCCCTTGCGGAGCAAGCAGTGTTGCCCCTAAATAGGACTGCTTAGTCGCCCCAGACGGCTGCGGAACTCCACTTTGGGTCACGACCTTGTTTAGTGGGGAACGTCCCGAGTTAGCCCGGGCCATCTAGGGGACTGCATGTCATCCCCTCTGCAGGACTCTTTGAAGTGGGTTGGAAGCAGGGATGATGGGGGAAGGATAAAGGGACGGGAAACAGATGTTCTCTTCCCTCTCTGTGCTAAATGATTGTTGAAATGTAGACGGTGAGCAGACAAATTCAACAGAACGACATTCATCAGAACGATATTTAACTGACCTGGTGGCCACTTGCTTAGTGGCCATCCGCAAGGTTGTAGACGAGGGTGTTTTCATCTTCAGCTGCATGTCTTCCAGCCGCTGGGTCAGTTGATTTTTGAAATTCAGACAGTAAGCAGGCAAAGACAATAAGGCAGTATTCAGCTTACCTGGGGGTCCCTTTCATTGCGGTCTCCGGTGGCGTTGCAGATGGCGCCTTGTGGTGGAGATGACGAGACGGTAATCCATCCGGACAGCCCTAGTGGGAGGGGAGCAGAGTCACCGTGTGTGAAGATGCACATGCGGATACTCTCGCCTGGTTTAGTCCGCCAGTAGAGGCGGTTACCGGAGTGTGGCCGTCAGGCAGACCTTTACTTCGAGGAGCCGCATGTGAGAGTTGGGTGCAGGTTAATGGACGCTAGGTGTAGTCAACACCTCAACGCATGCTAGTTATTCGTCTGAAAACACCCCTAGAACGAAGCCTTTTGCTGACGCCATATTACGGACATTGGAAGGATTGAGAAAGAACCAACATGATCTTCACGGCCTGCTAGTTGCGCAAAATTTGCTAAGAAATGCGGATCACCCTATACACCACCTTTATAAATACGAAGGAGAATTTAGACACCGTGAATCAGCATGGACTTTGAGACGTATGCCAAAATTCGGATGTATACAATGTGAATGGTCAGGCAGCCACAAGACGGCATGGTAGCGCGTGTCACAAAAATTACATCAGGGTTAGAAGCTTCTGCGGTGACGGATGAAGTGGGTCAGGGTTGTGAACTCTATACGCCCCCACTAGTCTTATTTAGTGTGTGCACTGACGAGTGCTCATCGTGAGGAAAGTGCCTAAGACCAGTGCCCAAAACCTCTTGTTCGCAGACGACTATGTATTTACTATCACAATGGAAACGAGAATGTAGCAAGATGTGCGTTTGCTCTTGGTTGAACAACATTGAGATTGGCTGGCAGTACAGAAAGGGCAGTAGTCATGCATCAACCGGCGCTGTCTAGTGGACACAAAACCCCATAATAAGTGACAGTGGAACTCACCTCACATCTGCTGACAACTTTGCATGCCTAGAGAGTGCCATCGTACCGTGTGTAACTGGTGAATTAATTCCTTTGGGTTCGACAAACAACCGAAATGCACACTTTTTACCTGCTACTGGACATCCAGATGTTACATGCGTTTTTTTCGGCATGCGAAACAGCTGTAACCAATCGACCTCCAATACTGAAAAAAATCCCCAACACCTCTACATTAACAACATCCATTAGACCCATTTGTGAAAAACTCGGCGTCCCCGCGGAATTCTAACTCACGACAGCAGGGCAAGGATTCGTACAGTTGCAGCGACACCCTTTCAAAGGCTAATGGGTGTCTCTTGGAGCCCCAGGTTCTCGCCCGACCCGCTAAATATTTTCACACCTTTAAAAAGACTTCTCGAAGACCTTGCTCTCACCAAAACGTAGCGATCGCCATCCTTTTTATCTTTTTTAAATCTTATTGTGTCGAACTTCCACCATTTTGTTGCATTCACATGAGCACTTTGTGTAAAAAATCGATCCTCCAAAGACTGATTTGCATTGGTGTGGTTCTAAATGTCCTCTAGTGATAGTCAAGACGTCTGCAATTCGGGAGCATGGACCCTCCCATAGCAGGTAGCAGAGGGGTTAGGGTTAGGGAGGTTACTGTCAGGGTCAGAGTTATTAGGGTTAATGTTAGGAAATATGCATCGTCCCCGTGGAATTTGGTCCACGGCCAACTGCGGCACGTGGGGTCCATATTCTCGTGTCCAACCTCCAGTTCTGTCATAACCTTCGAAACATCATCCACGAGTTATGCTGCCACGGGACAGCTGCGGCTTCCTCCCTTCTCGTAAATCCTGGTAGAGAGCAGCATCCAGACCAAAATATGTTTCGACGAAATCACCACCACTTTTGGACTGAATCATCCGTTTGCTTGTTGGGCTTTCTAATCTCATGCTGCCAGACAAAAGCAAGCCTGCATGCGATATTATCGCATAACCGCAATCTCTTCAAAATAGTTCACATTGCACGAATGAATGCGAAATCTCGAGTCCCAGGTGTATGCATAAGTGAAGAAGAAGAGTCGAGCACCGACTCTTCTTCTTCACTTAAGTTCACATTGCATATACGACTTCTACCCTCTCTGTGGTAAGACGGATGAACTGTTATTAAAAGTCCGGATACGATAATTTTCGTTAATATCCTATAAATACTCGACGTTATCCTGGAAGCCTCAGCATCCAGTTTCTTTATTCTTATCTTGATATTATGGAAGCAACGATTTGCAAAACATTGCGAATGAAGACATTCGACTCTCGAACACTTTACTAGACCGACAGACTTGGCTTTACAACGTGCTGTCTTCATGAAGTAGATTGGCATTATCTAACGTCAAGCCTCTTTCAGCCAGGCAGGATCTGAATCCTATGCCAAAATAAACATAATGAGTTACATAAGTCACTTCAGCAAGGTTTTCGTGCTCCTTAATTATGTAACGGAGGTGACATCGACAGTAAACGAATGGAAAAAAATAAAATCATCTTTAATAAGGGAAATATAAGGACAGCGCCTCAGTGTTATTTTGTAATATCTGACTCAAAATATCCATATACAGACAAATTATCTTTATACCTCGCAGGACATACTTCGGATGGATCCTCGACTAACTTTGTGCCAGAGCAAGGGGCAGAAATCCAGGAGCCACACCTTCACCCCATATCCTCCCAAGCCTCTGACATTATTAATGACGAACTTTGCTCTATTTATGTTATTGTTTTCTGATGTTTCGAGTGCCTCTTCCCCACACTGGCCACCGATTCCGTTTTTTCATATCTTTTAATTTGCTTTGGACAAATGCCGAATTCATGCCTGATTATCTTCAGCACGTACATCAAAACTTGCCCAGGGTGACCGTGTTCCATTCGAAGAAGCTAGCGTAACACTGGCCAAAATATTTCGACTAGAAATAAAAGTGGATTGAACTGAACGGACATACTTGGATTGGGATGGACTACTTAGGCGGGAGTAAAAAACGAATTAACAGGAAAGCAATAAAAATAAATAGTCACCATAGTAGTTTGCCTTACTCGGTAATTATTTTTACCTACAAATCTTCAAAAAATATCACATTTTAAGGATGCTCACAAAATTTTTTCTGTATTCATTTCATTAGTGACCTTATTTTCTTCGGAACCTGTATGCAGATGGGGGCGTAGTAATGCGTTATCATGTCCTCATAATCATCTTGTAGTTTTCAAGCCCTGTATTTACTAACCCTACTATCAAAGTACACAATGTGATTCGTGTTCACTGCATCATTCTGTCAGCATCAGATGGCCGACTTATAGGGACACGCAAGCCTATGCGGATTTGTGGAACGTAACCTACAACCCCAAACAACACGCTAACAGCCAGCGTGGATGCAGGATATAAAAGTAACAAGGAATCACTTATGCCGTAACCTCTTCTGTAGTTGCAGATTTTCGAAGACGGAAGTTCCTTTTTATGGACTGAGTATTTTGTATGCACTTTAAAAATACGATCAAAATTTATAGACCACAAAAGAAGGTAAGAGCGAGGACCTTTTCCTATGCAGCTTACACAAGTTGCTAGAAACTCCTCAGTCAAAAGCTACTATAGCATCCTGTAAGCATTTACCTAGCACAGCGTCCCCAGTCGGTCAGCGTACCAGACGGGCCTGAAAAACACCTTTTTGTGGCATATAACAGGATGGTTTGAGCGTATGCTAATGACTGCCACCGTCGTGCATATGGCCTGCGTAGGACCGTGGGTTGGATTTTTGGCATCTCGTAAACTTCGCATAATCGTCCTATAATAATATCTGTTCGTAAAGTCACAGCCCCACTACAGGTTACAGATAGGGGATTGTGCAATTTTACGCAGGTTTAAATTCTGCAAGTTGCAAAAGACATTACAACATAACACGCATTGCCTGGAAGTCTGGACAGAGTCAGAACAATGACCGTAAATACGGACTTAAAAAAGCACACGAAGCGCCAAGAAATACGATACAAGGGACTCACGCATGACCTCCACTGCATGACAGTATTTTATAAAATTTACACATCTACTTGGATTGAGCAATCGTTTTTTCTAATTGAAATCAAAATATTAAGATAAGGTGTTAGAAAGGACGAACGATGCTCACTGTCAGTTTAATGCAATTCACAAGCTGCGCTTTCTGGGGAATTTTCTGTTCGGTCATTCGATGAATTCTCCCTCGAAGACCATGTAAGTCTTCAAGATAAAGGGCGGTAACAAAAATAGGTGTTCTCTGGGAGATGTTTATTAGAGGTCTGAAGTTTCAAGTAGTTATTTCGCCTAACCATCTTCAGACACTAAACAGTCGTGCCCACAGCCCTCATTATACTCGCACTTTGGTTGTCACCTGGTCAGCCAATCCCGCCTATGTGGCTGCAAAATAACCACCCAAAACGTCGGACTACAAATAAAACGTCCCCAACGAAAGCCTCTTCTTCTTTCCACATTCCTCCTAGGAATCGTATCCTCACTGATATTTAAGTCAGAGTTTTACGTTTTTCTGAAAAGTTATTCTTCCTGCTAAGTCTTCGTTCTTTCTGCATCTTCTCAGACTAATAAACTTCTGAAGGAGGGGTGGTCCACGCTGGGAGGGGTTTGGAGTTTCGAGAAACAAGTTTACCTGCACACCTTCAGGGCTTGGCGAGCCTCGCGCACAGCCAGCATCATCAAACACATAGGCTGCACCCCACATTTTGTCTGAATTGATCGCCGATGACACGACTGATGAATCATGCGTCCGGTAATAGTCGACCTCGAATTGCTTTTGTTGTTTGAGATGAATACTATCGGTGGGTCAGAGTTACGCATACCTCGATCATCCGCTGCGCGCCTCTGACCTCCTGTTAGATGGTGATGCAGGGCTAGGTCGACACAGGCGGATTAATGTGGCGGTTGACTGGGTGGTCCTTTGAGCACCACGCGAGCTGTGGACGCAAGGTCGTGCGGCAGTTAACGCAACTTGCCACCCTAAGTCCGCTAAACTCTAAGCCGTGCCCTGTTTGGACGACATGGGTTGCTACCTATGACTTCTGCTTTAACCTTCACCCGGCTGTCGGTTTGACATCTTTACAGTTTTTGATCGCTTTCTCCGGCCGAACTGTCTTCTTCTCAGATAAAAGAATGTCAGTGGGCGACGAATAATTTCGCTTCTTCGGGAATGGGGTCTTTTGGACACATAACCTGGCACAAGGGTTTTGTCTCATAC